TTTTATTATCTGTGTAAGCCGCACAGGCCGTGAGAAACCGTTGATATTGGACCAGCTGGGAATGTTGTTGTCTGAACTTTCAGGCCGAGAACGTGCTCGAGCTGAATTTGGGTTTGTTTTTTTTTTTGTTTTGTTTTGTTTTTTGCTTTTAATGGCGAATGTTTTATATAATGATATGTGATATCTGTTTAGGAGGAGGTTCTGTTTTTTCTGTTTTATTTAACATGATCCACTTCTGCGAAAGGAAAGGAAATTAAGTTCCAAAAAGCTTTTTTTTTTTTGGCGAATGTTTTATATAATGATATGTGATATCTGTTTAGGAGGAGGTTCTGTTTTTTCTGTTTTATTTAACATGATCCACTTCTGCGAAAGGAAAGGAAATTAAGTTCCAAAAAGCTTTTTTTTTTTTTTTCCTCGCTCTCTCTTTACAATATCAGTTCGTATAGGAGGAAGTCTGCTGTTACTAGGAACTACTCCTGTCATGTGTCGTCTTGCTGTTTGGGTAAAAACATGTTTTTCTGTGTGGGCAGCATATGTTTCAACAGTGAAGCAGAATTATGAAGCTATTTTGTCATGCACACTTTGGAGGTGATGTTACTGAACACTGACAACAACAAACGTGACTTTGTAAACCACTCTTCACGTTCAATTATAATGGAGTTCTAATCATAACCGCATGGTTGTTAGTCTCTCCTGTTCATTTTCTTTTCTCCTTGTCTTGGTACAGAAAATTGAGCACTGCTACAAACATAACCCGGGAAGAAAAAAAAAAACGCCAGCTAGCATTATAAGCAACTTTTACCTTCGCCATTACAAGGTGTCCTGACGTTTACCGGGATAAAGTCTGTTCCAATTCTGTCACTTAAATGTCACTGATGTGTTGATCAAGTTCAGTTTAAGTTCCAAAAAAATATTTTACGAACCTAAAAGTACTTGGTATTGATGATACTGGCTCCAGTATCTACTTGGTATCGATACCAAAATCTCAGGCACCGATATCATCAATGTCACACTTCTCTGGATTAGGTTCATTTAAAGTTTGCAATAACATTCTGTTCAGACTTTGTTGTCCGTTGCTGAGCTTCACTGGCAGGCAGATTTGTAAAGTAGGCCGACTGTGCATCACATCACCGCGTGTTGGTGTTTCCACGAAAATATATGAAGCCCAAAGTGGCTCATGAGGGCTTTTCGTAAACCTGTTTTTCGAGTCCCTGTTGCTGAAAAGCCCCCGTCGCACATAAACCCGGTTTAGTCCACTTACCGCAGTCCGAGGATCACACTTGTCAGCACATTTTCTACGGCATGGCGACACGCCCACGTGCTTCCTCCCAGCCCGGGAAGCTTTCCTTCCTCCAGACCTCCAAGGCCAATACGGCCTTGCGACCAAGGGCCGTGTCCTCGCGCTCGGGCTCCGTGCTGGAAGACGAGCTGTCGTGCCCGGTCTGCTGCGAGATCTTCAAGGAGCCCGTGGTGCTCAAGTGCAGCCACAGCTTCTGCCGGGCATGCCTGCAGCAGTTTTGGAATAAGAAGGCGGCCCGCCGCGAGTGCCCCATCTGCCGCAGGAAATGCTATTGGCTTTTTTTTTTTAAAACGATTTTTGTCTTGTCAAGTTAAACAAATTCTAAAAGACAAATCTTCCTGTAATGTTTTCTCTAAGTCAGGGGTGTCAAACTAAAAAAAAAAAAATCAGCCTTTTATTTGGTTATTGGAATTTTATTCTGCCGATGTTAGAATCAGCGCCGGCTACCAAAATTCCACATCTAATTGCGTCACCATGCTTATTACGGTTTTGGAATAACTGTTTACAGTATGGCCATTGTTTTACTGGGCTTTAGGGAACTCTGGCGAGCAACAAAAGAACCCCCCCCCCTAAAATAAACATCTGTTCTAAAAATATCGTTAATGCAGTGATACCAAGTATGTGCTTTTTGTACTGTCATTTCAAACAGTTGTCCTTCAATTGCAAAGAATTTGCATGTGTAAATTGTCCCATCCTTCCTTTGTACCCTGCTGACTATGACAATTGGATTGTGATGCTGTTGTTATTGAGCCTTTGCTCATGTGCCTAGCGGCAACGACACGACGATCGCCGTAATTAGTTGCATTCCCGCGCCGACTCGCATTTGCGAAATTTTTTATGAATGCTCAAAGTAATTGCCTTTTTATGCCCTTTTTGCATTTGACATTAAATGTGGAACGATGCTGCTTTTGCCAACGAATCAGTGAAACACAAAATCATTTTGTCAAGCATTTATGAATATTAATACATAATACGTTAATTCATTTATAGACTTGCCTTTGTGGTTTATATTTAATACAGAGCAGGGCTTCAATTCCAAACCTGTATGAATTGTGTCCTTCCACTCCTGGCCATTCTTTGACATGTCACGGCATCGCCCTCAGGAGGAGCTGAAGAAGGATCTGATTCCCCTGAAGAAGAATCTGCGGCGCCTGTATGAAGCCAAGCAGGAGTGTGATGACACAACTGTGCACATCAAGGTATCAACAAACATGCGAGCGAGTGAGTTGAGTGAGTGAGGGGGACGGTGCGAATGAGGGTCCCGCATGACCCCTGATGTCACTACGGCTGCCGCGCCTCAGCCCCAAGGGTTGTGTTTTTTTTCCACGCGGAAAATTTGGCCTTGCCGCGACAGAATGCTTTGAAAACATTCGAACGTGATGAAAGATGTGTGGAAGGTAAATAATGGGCAAAGTTTTGGACGCGCTTTTTCATTTAATAGAATGAGAAAGTGTCTTGTGTTCTTTATCGAAAATGTTAGAATCAACATAATACAGTGAGAACATCAGGCTGACTTTCAAGTTGTTCAAATTTATTTGTCATACAAGTGGAAAATGGAAGTAAAATTCTATAAGACTAAACAGGAATTTTTGATGAGCAATCATAAAACCTTCATGACCTGTAAAGAATTTAATGTTGTTATTCAAGCATAAAAAAAAAACGTGGCTCTCCAAGTTCCACCGTCATTAAAAATTAGAATACAGTCGCATAGTATGCCTAAGTGTTCAACAAAAAAAGACGTTTTATTCCTAAGCATTATATTTAATACTATTGTAAACTACTGCCACATGATACAGTTTGAACATTGATGCTGTGCTTAAATTCAGGAAAACAGTTTTAAATGTGTCTACATCCTGATTCAATGTAAATTGCACATAAAAAAAATCAGGTAGTTAAAAAGAAACAGTTCTTAGAAATTAAATGCAGACGTATTGAACTTCAAAGTTAAATACAACTGAACTGTACTTAGGCATACCATTAGAGGGCGCTTGTGTGCCACGAATTATCTTCAATGAGCCTACCTGACTTGCACATTCGTTAAACTTTGGAGGGTTCCACTCCTTTACTTCTTTTTTGTATTTGTTTGTTGTTGACTCATTTGTGTACATTTGTGTTTGTGTGTCAGAACCAGACTCAAGCCACGGAGCAGCAGCTCAGAGGGGACTTTGAGCAGCTGCGTGACTTCCTGCAAAAGGAGGAAACGGCGCGGCTGGCCGCCGTACAGCAGGAGGCGGAGGAGAAGAAGGAGCTGGTGAGGAAGAAGGCCGACGGCCTCACCAGGGACATACTGACCTTCTCGCACGCGGTCATCGCTGTGGAGAACGAGATCGCGTCGGCCGACGTGCTCTTCCTGCAGGTGACTTTGCATTTTGTCGCTCATCTGCCAGGCGAGCGGACACACTTAATATAAAGTTCTGCTCAGTTTTCAGAGCTGGGGTGGGAAAAGTTTGGTGTCCAGGGCCATGTTGCGATTTTTAAAACAGTCAGCAGGGCTGAGTCAATTTGTAAAATAAGTAGGTTGAATAAATATGGATACGAAAATGTGAAATTATTTTAATGGTGAAATATGCTCACATAATTTCATACAAGTGGAAAATGGAAGTAAAATTCTATAAGACTAAACAGGAATTTTTGATGAGCAATCATAAAACTTTCATGACCTGTAAAGAATTTCATGTTGTCATTCAAGCATAAAAAATAAGTGGCTCTCCAAGTTCCACCGTCATTAAAAATTAGAATACAGTCGCATAGTATGCCTAAGTGTTCACCAAAAAAAAGACACGTTTTATTTCTCAGCACTATATTTAATACTACTGTAAACTACTGTCTCATGATACAGTTTGAACATTGATGCTGTGCTTAAATTCAGGAAAACAATTTTAAATGTGTCTACATCATGATTCAATGTAAATTTATTGCACATAAAAAAAATCAGGTGGTTAAAAAGAGACTGTTCTTTTACATTTAAATGCAGATGTATTGAACTTCAAAGTTAAATAGAACTGAACTGTACGCATACCATTAGAGTGCGCTTGTGCGCCACGAGTTATCTTCAATGAACCTACCTGACTTGCACATTCGTTAATCTTTGGGTTGTTCCACTCCTTTATTTCTTGATTGTATTTGCGTGTTCTTGACTCATTTGTGTAAATTTTTGTTTGCGTGTCAGAACCAGACTCAAGCCACGGAGCAGCAGCTCAGAGGGGACTTTGAGCAGCTGCGTGACTTCCTGCAAAAGGAGGAAACGGCGCGGCTGGGCGCCGGACAGCAGGGGGCGCTGACCTTCTCGCACGCGGTCATCGCTGTGGAGAACGAGATCGCGTCAGCCGACGTGCTCTTCCTGCAGGTGACTTTGCATTTTGTCGCTCATCTGCCAGGCTAGCGGACACACTTAATATAAAGTTCTGCTCAGTTTTCAGAGCTGGGGTGAGAAAAGTTTGGTGTCCAGGGCCATGTTGCGATTTTTAAAACAGTCAGCAGGGCTGAGTCAATTTGTAAAATAAGTAGGTTGAATAAATATGGATACGAAAATGTGAAATTATTTTAATGGTGAAATATGCTCACATAATTAACAACTTTCTGTTGTAAAACTGTTTTTATTTTTTTATGTAAAGTCGTATTTATGGTTGTGCAATTTTAATTCATTTATTTATGTATATGAAAGAGTTATTTCACAACATGAAAAAAAGTAAAACCTTTAACTTTCTGTAAAACACGATTTCATTTCAATAAAATCCTACTTCCTGCAGAGTTTTCTAAAATTTCTAATTGATTACATTTTAACGTTTTATTTCTCAGCACTATATTTAATACTACTGTAAACTACTGTCTCATGATACAGTTTGAACATTGATGCTGTGCTTAAATTCAGGAAAACAATTTTAAATGTGTCTACATCATGATTCAATGTAAATTTATTGCACATAAAAAAAATCAGGTGGTTAAAAAGAGACTGTTCTTTTACATTTAAATGCAGATGTATTGAACTTCAAAGTTAAATAGAACTGAACTGTACTGAGGCATACCATTAGAGGGCGCTTGTGTGCCACGAATTATCTTCAATGAGCCTACCTGACTTGCACATTCGTTAAACTTTGGAGGGTTCCACTCCTTTACTTCTTTTTTGTATTTGTTTGTTGTTGACTCATTTGTGTACATTTGTGTTTGTGTGTCAGAACCAGACTCAAGCCACGGAGCAGCAGCTCAGAGGGGACTTTGAGCAGCTGCGTGACTTCCTGCAAAAGGAGGAAGCGGCGCGGCTGGGCGCCGCACAGCAGGGTACAGCAGGAGGCGGAGGAGAAGAAGGAGCTGGTGAGGAAGAAGGCCGACGGCCTCACCAGGGACATACTGACCTTCTCGCACGCGGTCATCGCTGTGGAGAACGAGATCGCGTCGGCCGACGTGCTCTTCCTGCAGGTGACTTTGCATTTTGTCGCTCATCTGCCAGGCGAGCGGACACACTTAATATAAAGTTCTGCTCAGTTTTCAGAGCTGGGGTGGGAAAAGTTTGGTGTCCAGGGCCATGTTGCGATTTTTAAAACAGTCAGCAGGGCTGAGTCAATTTGTAAAATAAGTAGGTTGAATAAATATGGATGCGAAAATGTGAAATTATTTTAATGGTGAAATATGCTCACATAATTAACAACTTTCTGTTGTAAAAATGTTTTTATTTTTTTATGTAAAGTCGTAATTATGGTTGTGCAATTTTAATTCATTTATTTAAGTATATGAAAGTTATTTCACAACATGAAAAAAGGAAAACCTTTAACTTTCTGTAAAACACAATTTTATTTCAATAAAATCCTACTTCATGTAGATTTTTCTAAAATTTCTAATTGATTACATTTTAACCAATTCACCAAGTATTTGGTGACATGAACTAACGAAGTTGATGCTAAATTTTAAATTTTACTGACATCTTTATTTACTAAAATTTTAATGTTTGACAGTTTAATCTTTTTCATGTAGCTTGCTGAAATAAAATACTAATTCATGCTCAAGTAATGTCAATGTAAATAAGTAATCTATTATTTCATAAAATAAATGCAAAATTAATTTGTTTGCCATTTTTTGTCATTTGTTTTGTCATAAGTAAACAATTACTTGAAAATGTATGAATATATATTTTTTTAAGTTCAGGTAGAATAGTTTATTAAAATCTAAACACTTATTCATGATCATTTTTATTTTATTTGTATGTAATGAAATTACAAATTTTAAATGTGTCTACATCATGATTCAATGTAAATTTATTGCACATAAAAAAAATCAGGTGGTTAAAAAGAGACTGTTCTTTTACATTTAAATGCAGATGTATTGAACTTCAAAGTTAAATAGAACTGAACTGTACTGAGGCATACCATTAGAGGGCGCTTGTGCGCCACGAGTTATCTTCAATGAACCTACCTGACTTGCACATTCGTTAATCTTTGGGTTGTTCCACTCCTTTATTTCTTGATTGTATTTGCGTGTTCTTGACTCATTTGTGTAAATTTGTGTTTGCGTGTCAGAACCAGACTCAAGCCACGGAGCAGCAGCTCAGAGGGGACTTTGAGCAGCTGCGTGACTTCCTGCAAAAGGAGGATATTTACACGAGATGAAATGACCAATTATCGATTGAGAAATGAATCAAAAATATAAAACATGAATGGAAGACAATATTCTAAGTATCAATTTCATCATACAAGTGTAAAAATAAGTTAACCACTGTAAAATAAAACTCAAATAAAACCACCCTTCCTTTGTAGACATGTAAAAGGCAACAGGAGATTTTGAAGTTAGTTTTCTGGAATCATGCTGCAACTGCAAGTGATGTATGGACAACCTAACTTGTGTATTCTGATGTGACTAATCTTGATCGGACACGCTAGTACTAAAAGCTCTTTTCATTTTTAATTGTAGAATTATTCCAAGACAAAGAAAAGGTAAGCGTGTTTATCTTCATGACCACATGATAGCATAACCGTGAGATAAAATGCTAACAGCTGTTTTTATTTTTTTATGTAAAGTCGTATTTATGGTTGTGCAATTTTAATTCATTTATTTATGTATATGAAAGAGTTATTTCACAACATGAAAAAAAGTAAAACCTTTAACTTTCTGTAAAACACGATTTCATTTCAATAAAATCCTACTTCCTGCAGAGTTTTCTAAAATTTCTAATTGATTACATTTTAAGCAATTAATGACATCTTTATTATTATTTATTAAAATTAACTGTTTCACAGTTCAATCTTTTTCATGTAGCTTGCTGTAATAAAATACTAATTCATGCTGAAGTAATGTAAATGTAAATAATTATTTCGGAAAATTAATGCAAAATTAATTAGTTTATTTTGCCTTTTTTTTTTGTCATAAGTAAACAATTACCGGTACTTGATTTGAAGTATGATTTTTTTTTTTAAATTTCATGTAAAATTGTTTTTTAAAATCAAAACACTTATTCATGCTCATTTTTATTTTATTTGTATGTAATGAAATTACAATTAACCAAGATATTACTTACACGATATGAAGTGACCAACTTTCGATTGAGAAATGAATAAAAAAATATAAAACATGAATGGAAGACAATCAATATTCTATGTATCAATTTCATCATACAAGTGTAAAAATAAGTTAACCACTGTAAAATAAAACTCAAATAAAACCACCCTTCCTTTGTAGACATGTAAAAGGCAACAGGAGATTTTGAAGTTACATTTCTGGAATCATGCTGCAACTGCGAGTGATGTATGGACAACCTAACTTGTGTATTCTGATGTGACTAATCTTGATCGGACACGCTAGTACTAAAAGCTCTTTTCATTTTTAATTGTAGAATTATTCCAAGACAAAGAAAAGGTAAGCGTGTTTATCTCCATGACCACATGATAGCATAACCGTGAGATAAAATGCTAACAGTGGATTTTTTTTTTTGGTTCAAAGGGCAGAGATCCCCCAGAAGGACCCGGAAAAAGTGCCTGGAGCGCTTATCAACGTGGCCAAGCACGTCAGTTCCCTCAAGTACCACATTTGGGAGAAGATGGTGGAGGTGGTTCAGTACAGTAAGGAAATTCCAATCCTACTTTTATGTAAACTAGCCTCTTTTCTTGTTACCACGACAACCGTCGTGGAGCTTGGGGATTGCACTTTGCCAAAGCAGTGTGTGGGATTTCAAACCCGCAAAGACATTTAAAACATTTTCACTCGTGGAAGCATAACTTCATTTGCTATGCTGTGCGGTTGTTTGTTTTAGCGCCCATCACCCTGGATCCCAACACAGCGTACTCGTGGTTGTCCATTTCCAAGGACCTCACCTGCGTAGCCAACAGCGGCTCCCTCCAGCAGCTCCCGGACAACCCGGAGCGTTTTGGCCACTTCGTCTTCGCGTTGGGCTCGGAAGGCTTCACGTCGGGCCGCCACGCCTGGGAGGTGGAGGTGGGTGACAAGGAGGACTGGATGCTCGGGGTGGTCAAGGAGTCCATCGACAGGAAAGGTCGCATCTCCGGCTGCCCCGAGGGAGGCTTTTGGATGATCTCACACTACGAGGGCGAATACTCGGCCATGACCAGGCCCAGCACCCCCTTGCGCGTGGAGGCCGAGCTGAGCAGAGTCAGGGTGCAGCTGGACTATGACGCCGGCAAGGTGATTTTCTCCAATCCGGTCAGCATGACGCCCATCTACACCTTCACCGACTTCTTTGCAGACAAGATGTATCCATTCTTTTGCCCCGGGGCAAACATCAATGGGAATAACCCCAACCCACTCAAGATTTGCCCTGCTAATGTGGCGGTGTGGAACAGCGCCACATGGTGATGGAACTCAGAAAGTCACAACTCATGACATCAAGAATCACCTCAAAACACACATTTGGTTTTGGTCTTTCTGATCCTGCTGCATCTGTCTATCAATCTCAATATCAACCACTTATCATTTGTCCATTGACTTGAAACAAACAAACAAAAAAAAAAACCCTACTTATTGACATTGATGTGATACCTCACCACATATACTGTATCTGGTTTTTCCTGAGAGAGTCATGGGTTGGGCAACTTACTCTCATCTGGCCCGCCGTGCAATTCTTAAAACGACCAAAACATCATATGAACTCTCATTTTAACCGTGAGACATTTCTTGTCTGTTTATTCTTTCAAAGTTCTGTTTTGATTACGCGATCAAGCCAGTGATCTCTGCAGCCAATATGAGCCGTAGTGGTTAACCAACTATTGCATCACTGTGGACTTTGTTGTGCTCACCAATATTACAGTGAGGTGTGTTTATGTATTATCAGAGGTTAGATGAATCCAATCTGAGCTAGTAAAAGAGCGTCAGGTCTTTGTGCCTACCTCTTGAAATAAATATCGTGTTAAAATTCTTTACAGTATAATCCAGGGTGGCCCTAGAGTTTGGATAATGGAGCTCATGTATGGAGTTCTCATGCAAAGCGCACCAAACTTTGCATTACAACTGTTGGAAATCAAATTGAATAAGTTATTTGTTAATACCCCAACTGAATAAAATGTTGAGATGTGATTTGATTAAAATGTATATATTTCTGCCTAATTGTATGACGGTCAAAGCTGTACTGGAGTGCAATACAGGAGCATGCCTGTACTTCTCTTTCTTGACAATAGGTGGTGCTAGCTTGCCTTGACATGGCATCCTTAATGGCATCCCTGATTGTCCTTCGTGTCACATCGGTATGTGCTTACTATGGCTTACGGATGTCAAAATACATTATTTTGTTTCCGTTTTTTTCAGCGCCAAACATAGACGCCATTAAACATTTACATTATTATTATTTTTTTAAATTAGCATACATTCTGAATTTGAGGGACCTGTAAGGCGTCAACGTACAGTAAATTCTCACCAATGACAATTCAGTTCAATCTCTCAGAAGTGTCCAAAGTAACCCAAATAATTTGTATATCATTGGACAAAACTACGAATAAAACTCAGAAGACAACCTGGTGCATATGGAATGCACAGAAGCAAAAAAAAAAAAACAAAGACAAGTTGACCAACTTTAATATGTACATGTTCTTTTTAGAATGGCAGCAAAGCTACAGTAACCACATAGCTGCACCATTCGTTTTCAGTCGGGAAATGGCACATTCAGAGGTTCTGACGTGTTGTAAAGAGCCTCAACCAACAGAACCTTCCTGAACAAATTGGATAGACAACAGTGCAAAACCAAATGTGAGATTTGAGGGTCTCACATTTGCATCATAATGGAGGGGGGGAAAAAAACTTTGAAAAAGAGAAGGAAAACGCACAACAAGAGTACACTGCTAATAAAACCCAACAACAGTTAATGTGACAATAACACCCCAAAAAAAAAAGACGTCCCATCCCATACATTTAGCAGCAGGTTCTGGGTTAAATCGGCAGTGTCTTGCTTTCATCTTTCTGCACACACACGGACACATGCTGCAAATACAGACCTTTTCACCATAATGTCATGTACTTCAGGGGCGGCAAAAACTTCTCCCATGTCATTTGACCAAGGCAGACTGATTTGAGAAAACGTGTTAAATGACTTGAGTTATATGATTTTGGCCTTCATCATTCCCTCCAAAGTTTGAACGTGTGAAGTGTAAGTCAAAAAGAATAAGTTGCATGAAGGTAAAATGGTTCCAAGGGAGACAGTATGCTGGCTGTACTTTTCATTTCAACAGGTAAATTGACATCCACTTAATTTTTCCTCCTCAGCCACAAGTTCTGATGGATTACCGTAATATAGGGTTTTTAATCAAGTAAATCGGAAAACACAATAAAACAAAAGATGTATCATATCAAATTTTAAATAATAAATTTCATATCAAGTCAGCCATAGTCAAATCAGTTTCTGCCACGCCCAAGTACCATGGTACCTCTTTTTTTAGGCTTTACACGCATCGGATTGGCTGGATTAAATCGGCAGACTTGTAGCATTTTTATGAAAACAGTGATCGGTTATAAGGTCATAATTTTCCGATCGATCAATGATGTCATTGATCGGATCGGTTTATTTAGATGTTTCAACCGATGTAGTTTTTTGGGAGTTGAAGGGGGCGTTAAATGTTTATCAGCAGTTTGGGGAGAATTTTTAGTGTAATTGTCATGTTTCCCCTTTAATGTATTTCAGAGTTTCAAGTTGTATGCAAATTTTGACTTCGGTCCCACTATCCCACGAATATTGGGGATCGAAGTACCGTCAATAAATCAATTGTTTAAATAGGTTGGATTAGATTGGTGATCTGTTCAGGTTTTTTGTTTTTTTTTAATCCTGATCGTGTAAAGCCTATTTCCAAACATTATGAAAAGGTCTATCCGACATGGACGTAAGTATAGGGGCACACCTTAATTCCCCATCAATGTTAAATTCGTACATTTTCTATAACGCTTGTCCTCATTAGGGGTACGGGTGAGCTGGAGCCGAGAGGCAAGGGACCAGGTACAACCCAGACAAGTCAGTGCCTGAACAGTTTGGAGCAGTTTTCGATTCCAGCATGGCCAAGCGAAGCCCACAAAGGCATGCGTGAACGTGATCCTACAACGGATATGGTGTCCCAATACTTTTGTCCACCTAGTGGTGTATGCTGCAGTACAAAACATGCACATACGTAGATATAAATACTGAGGTTTTTTCTTTGCTAATTAAATGCACTTCTGTGTCCTGAACTCTCTGCTTTGAAAATTAGGAAGGTGCACGACCGAAACATTCCCGGGCCGTTCTAAGACGAGCTCCACGCACAGCCGCCATGGCTCAGCTCGAGAAGATTTGATGACCATCTGGCTCCATCGCTTTCACCTCCTGTGTTGCTTCTCTCCAGATTGAATTCTTCAGTGTTGAGCCTTTTTTTTTTTTTTTTTGTCCGTACATGTCTCACAGGTGGGTGCTGTCCTGGGGATCAAACCTGTGGCTCTCTGCAAGTCCGGCGTTGCACTTCCTGCTGCTCCCTTGATTGGGTACCAGTGAGAGGGGGTCTGGTCTGATGAGGTACCTATGGATGAGAAACAGAGAGGTAAGGATATTCCATGGATAATACTGCGCTGTATGCACTTCTCAGTCACTTCGAACTGTTCTTCGCTAATCTATTGTCAGCTACAACTGTAATTATGACTGATGGCAACAGAGGGCACTGTTGTCTTTTTTTTTTTTTGTCCATAATGCTGTGTCATGCCTGCCCACACATCAAGTGTGAAATTAAACAACCAAGTAAATCCTTTGTTAGCCGCCTATTTCTGAAAATATGTCTGTGAGCGATGCTTGTTGCACTTTTGCCGCTAATTGCAAGATAACCAAGCGTGCAATTTCTTTCGAAGCTTGGCGTCATTAAATCCAGACTCAGCATCTGGCCGTTAGACTACTCTGTCTGAAACACTTTTTTGAGGCACTACCATGCACTAACACCAAAATTCCCCACGGGTGCGATTTTTTTGCTATTATGTAAAAGCCAAAATCTAAGCAAGGCTGCACTCGGTTCTTCTTCTGATAGGCAGCGGATGCTTGACCGCTTAAAACGCAGTGGCAGTAGGGGGGTACATGTTTATGATGTGTTGTGTCTATGACAAAACATTTATTTATTAATAATACATAGATTTTTGCTGGTGACTGATTCAGGGTTACCCCGCCTCTTGTCAAAAATCGGTTCGGGTGGCTTCCCGCTCTAGAATATGAGAAACAATTTTCCCTCGAAATACTATGCGGTCCTCGGAGGACTTTATAAAACCTGAAATTGATGGCAACAATCTTCTCCACCATCCGATGGTTTATTTCCCCCCCACTGCGCCAAATGCAGAGTCACAACTGTCTTCTCCGTCATTACTTTACTCACACAACATCGTGCAGCTCCAGCCTGGTGTCTGGAGAGGGGTTGATAAGGATGTAAGACAGTCTGTTGCCTTGGTCTGTCATGCCATCTGAAAGAGGAAGAAAGAACCAGGTGAAGTGGGAAATGAAGAGGGAAATCCACTCATGCGCTGAATAAAGGCAGGAAGAAATTACAAGCACTGATGCTAATAGTGCAGCAAAACTCACTGAAGCCAGTGGGAGAAAGACCCAAATGCTTCATCCTGGTCCTCACAAGGGCATTGAGTTCTTGCCTCTCCGATCGCCGGAAGAGAGTCAGTCTCTGCTGGCTGATCCTCTCGGCTGCACTGCCAGCGCCGCCCTTGGCGCTGCCTGAACTCCGGCCCCCTTTCCTGCTCAGGCGCCGCGCCCACTGCATGCTCTTCCTGCGGAGCAGCGGGTGGTCCGAGGAATGGGACGAGGTCGAGACGGGCTCTGAGGAGGTAGAGTTGCGATGAGCGCCACTTCGGGACAGCAGGGGCTCCCTGGGCTCTCTGGTGTCCTCGTAGTCTTCCACTGTGATGGATACCTGCGACTGATATGTAATCACATCCTCATTTATACTCTCTGCCCACATGAGATAAACCTTTTGTCTTCCTTCCGTTTCGTTCCCGATGCAGGGATGGTCTGTGCTTGTGTGGGTTTACTGGGCCGATGCAGCTTGATTACCATATTGGCCCGAATATAGGACGGCCCTGATTATAAGACGACCCCCTCTTTTTCAAGACTCAAGTTTGAAAAAAGACTTTTTGAACACCAAATTAATTTTTATACAGAAAATAATTACAGTACATCTGAAACAAATGATTCTAACAATATATTTGAGAAAAAAAGCATGTTATTTTGCCTCATTCAAATCTTAATATCTGAACATTTAAATATGTAAACTAAAGTGTAAATTACATCATAACTTCTCCTCAGGTGCCGGTTGACCTGGCCGATCTTCGACCCACCTTTTTCCAGATTGTCGCTACGTTTCTCCATTTTCTGTTATCTCTTCTATTATTTTTTTCTCTTTTCTTTCCTAACACTGTTTTTTATTTTTCTTCTTCGTGCTACCGCTATTTTTATTTTTATTCTTCGTGACAGGGGTTCACTTTGGCCTGGGGAGTCGAGTTCAGCATTCGCTTCAATGATATCTGGTGACATCTAGCGTCGTGAATGGGTATAATGTCTAGACCCCGAATATAAGACGAACCCCACTTTTTCAGTCTTATTTCAATGCAAAAAACACCGTCTTATATTAGGGCCAATACGGTATAACACAATATCGTTCACGATTGCACCACAGTGGCAGCTGACCTCTGAAACCGGAAGCTTGTGCGCTTCTGTTCTGTAGATCCCAATTGGAATGTCCCCTGTGGAGGAGCACAGCTTCTGGTAGAGCCTGCCGTACGTCCGTATCCACAAGTCCTCCTCTGTGATTTTCATCTAGAATACAAAAACAAAACATTGCACTCTTTGTGTGATCCATTCATGACCAGGCAGCGATCAAGTTGCAGTTGCTCTTACAGCGCAGAGGAACCCCGAACCGGGCATGGAGTCGAGGCCCAGCAGAAGCCTGGTGATGGAGATCATGTAATCCTTGACGAACGACTGTCCAAAGTGAGGTAACGTTAAATGGATAGGATTGAAATATTTTTGCTACGATGAGTTGGTGAGAAATTTTGTGTTTTCTTTTTACCTGATAAAGAAGTGTGTCTA